CCCCCCCCCCCGCATTTTCTGGCCCGTATGACCGGGGCCAGAGTCAGACAAGACAGGAATCAGCCTTTCAAACAGCAGGCACTTTCAACAGCAGTTTTGTGATGAGGTGTGGGAGGAGAATAAAAGTTCTGTTGGGTGAAGATCATGTTTAGGTCTTTGGATCCCAGCCACACTCGTATTGATGGGGAGAGCACAGTGACTGTTTAGTAGGAAATCAAAAGACTTAAAGGGTATAGAGAAGTGCAGGAAACCCTCAGCCACCCTGATTAAAGATTTAGGTCTTAAAGAGCTATTAAAAAGGCTTTTCTAATCAAAGAATTTATTTGATTCTATCCTATGCCTTTTGATACTGTCCATGGGGTTTTCTTGGCAAACATACTGGAGTGGGTTGCCATTTCCTTCTCCAGGTGGATCAAGATCATGGCATCCGGCCCCATCACTCCTTGGCAAATAGAAGGGGAAGCCGTGGAAGTAGTGACAGACTTCACATTCCTGGGATCCCAGATCACCGCAGTCTGTGACTGCAGCCATGAAATTAAAAGACGCCTGCTCCTTGGGAGGAAAGCGATGGCGAACCTAAACAGCATGATAAAAAGTAGAGATATCACCCTGCCAACAAAAGTCCGCATGGTCAAAGCAATGGTATTCCCAGTAGTCATGTATGGCTGCGAGAGCTGGACTATAAGGAAGGCCGAGCGCCGAAGAATAGATTCTTTTGAACTATGGTGCTGGAGGAGACTCTTGAGAGTCCCTTCGACTGCAAGAAGAACAAATCAGTCAATCCTCAAAGAAATCAACCCTGACTGTTCCCTGGAAGGCCAGATAATGAAACTGAAGCTCAAATACTTTGGCCACCAAATGAGAAGGGAACACTCACTGGAGAAGACCCTGATGCTTGGAAAGATTGAAGGTCAAAGAAGACGGGGACGGCAAAGGATGAGATGGTTAGACAGTGTCATCAATGCAACGAACATGAAGTTGAGCCAACTTCAGAGGACGGCGGAAGATCGGAAGGCCTGGCGAGAGCTCGTCCATGGGGTCGCGAAGAGTCGGACTCGACTGTGCGACTGAACAACAACAACATCCTATGCCTTGGAAAGCATTTCTTGTTATTAATATTAAAATTGCTGTGTTGGATTTGCATGCTCTGAAGTTGGCGGACAGATTAACCTCTGCAATAGGGAGTTTTCAATGACTATTATTAGGCTTCTGCGGCTGACTCATCAAATTAAGCAGATCTGCCTGAAGGAATCAATTCTCTCAAACAGGGTTGTGAAACCAAGAGGCGTAAACTCCCTTTTTAGGTCCTTGTTCATTGTTATCACTTCAGCTTTCGTCCACACCTGACTTGCGCACCTGGAAACCTGCTTTACGTAAATCAGTCATCTTTCAGGTGACAGGCAAGGGAACTTGCTGTATTGGTGGAACCTGAAAAATCGCTTTTTAAAAAAAGCAGCTGAAGTGCTGCCAAACCAAAATGTGTGGGAGGTTCTGTGGGTGATTCAAGCTGCAGGTATTCTGTAATTCCTTTCTGCAGAGTCATGGCTTTGTGGTGCTCAGAGGTTATTATAACCCGACCCACCCGCCCACAGCTCGCCCGCTGTGGTTCTACTTGGTGTTCTTATTCAGAGGAATGCATGAAAAGGCAAGTGGAAAGTGATACATCTCTGTATTGCTTGCAGTCAAATTTGAAAGACATCCTGGTACAGGCAGTTGTTTCACGGTCATGCCTGAGTCTGTGTTGTTAGGTTTCAATCCAGGCTTCATTATTTGCCATTGCAGGAACCTCCATGGTTTAACGTTGGCTGCCTGGAAAGTAAAACCACATTCTGATTATCTGCATTAGCTGACTGCTGCCTAACAAGTACATTGAGTAGATATTAACCCGAGGTTTACATAGCTGGATGAGGGTGTTTAATTAGAACTGGGGAAGTTGCTTAAAATCTTTTGTTGTTGTTCAGTCGCACAGTCGAGTCCGACTCTTCGCGACCCCATGGACCAGCTCCCGCCAGGCCTTCCGGTCTTCCGCCGTCCTCTGACGTTTGCTCAATTTCATGCTCGTTGCATCTATGACACTGTCTAACCATCTCATCCTTTGCCGTCCCCGTCTTCTTTGACCTTCAATCTTTCCCAGCATCAGGGTCTTCTCCAGTGAGTGCTCCCTTGTCATTTGGTGGCCAAAGTATTTGAGCTTTTAAGCCAATACTTTGGCTTAAAATCTAGGCATACATAAAAAATGCATACAGTTTTGCCATTATTGCTTAGTCTTCATCTCATCCAAAATGTGTCTAACTGTATCTGTGCATGTTTGTCCTCTTAATCCTTGCCCATTCATTACCTATCTACCCGAAGACTGAGATTTAAACTGGAAGGGTGGAACTGCCCGTTGCATGGTTCCTGCTGCTAGCCCTCTATTCCAGTCTACCTGCTTGGGGGGGGGGGGGGGTTTACTCTTTTCCCCAAAAGCCATAAAATATTGTTTCCTATCCGACATCTCAAGGAGAAAAGAGGAGTGTGTGTGAAGTAGCTAGGATGGGAAATGTTGAACACAAGAAGAGCTATGCTGGATTAGACAAAATGCCCATAATCGTCCAGCATTCAGCTCACACAGCGGCCATCCAGCTGCTTCCAGGAAGCCCACAAGCAGGATGACTGCAACAGCATCCTCCCATCTGTGCTTTCTCGTAACTGATGTAACAAGGCATACTGTTTCTGGTTCTGGAGACCAGTGTTCCCTCTAAGCTGCACTGGGGGGTGCTGGCGCACATTTTAGCTGGCTGTTCAGGGCATTTAGCTTCCAGCTCACAAGCATTTTCCCCTTCATTGGAAACAATGGAGGATGGGGGCACCTTCTTCTGGGGCCCATAGAATTGGACTCCCTGGTTCAATCTTTTTGAAACTTGGGGGATTTTTTGAGGAGAAGCACCAGCAGCTCTGCTGCAAATTTGGTCTCTGCCTCAAAAA